AAAAATTACTCAGTGCGGCTATAAACGACTGTTAAATGAAAGGTTGAATTGTTGAAGGATTTTGAAAACAGAAAAAATGATAGTCATGCCGGCCCAGCATCCTCAACGTTGAAAAATGCCTCAGCATGAAGTGGTTAAGTCTACTCGAATAGTGCTGTTGCCAGTAGATTATAGTGATATCGTATGTGAAATTGACATTTGGTGAGATACTCACACACTTTTTTTTATTAAACTTCAAATACATTGTATTTGTGACTTATGGGAAACAGAAATATTGCAGTTTTCAGTTTTGATTGAATTATACTATGAATGATCTTTTACTGATTAGAATGATGGACACAATATCTTCAAGCACCTGACGTCAGACGAGTACAAGCAAGTACTGAGTGACATACGACATGCCATCCTCGCCACCGATCTGGCCCTGTTCTTTGGGAACAAGGCCAAACTGAAGGCCATAGTGGAGGCGGGCCAGTTCTCATGGGAAAACCAGGAGCACAGGTGGGATAGGTTCAGGTCTGACGGAAGGGATGTGACATGCACTCACATTAGTGACTCCTCAACTCTTTCCCGAAAGGCCGTGTTCTGAAAGTGATGGGTGTGACTAACAACGATGATTGTGTGCGAGTAAGGTGATGTAATCATTGTGAATATGTTGGGCGTATATAACACGTGGGCATCTCTGGAAGGAACTTCCAAGTTTGCGAGATCGAAAGTTGGGCCCATAAGTCTCCGGTTTTGGTTGGAAAATTGACTTTGCAATTATTGATTTTGTAAGTATTTCAGTTGCTGAACCATCTTCTGACATGTCCTTGCAAACGAAAAGTGCATCATAAATAAAAAGAAAACCCAATTGATTCTTTTGAATAAGGGTTATAACTGACTGTTGTAAATAGTTGAAGTGCGGAAGGAGTGAATTCGGTATCGTTGAGCAGGCATGTAGAAACCAGAGACTTTAATGACACTTAAACATGTGACCTGTTTCCATACAGAATTGCTATCATTTACTAGCCTCTGAAGTCTACTTGACTTGGATTAGCAATAGATGGCATGAGATGGCTACTTGAAGGCACTTGCCTTACTCAAACTCTCCTGTCAACGAAATGTGGAGCAATTGATTTACTCCACAAACTGGTACTTGTATGCCATAGACCTCTCTCTTTTCACATCTCAGTCGCATTCTTTGCCAGCCAGTGGTTGTGGCCAGACACCAGTACAAAAGCAAAAGAAGAATTACAGCTCTTAAAATGTCACTCAGCTATCAAAGCACCAGTGTTGTGTTCTACAGGGTATGCACAAAGGAGGTACCCATGTAGAACACAAGAACTGCCCTGCAAGATGGCTTCTATGCAAAGCCTCTGTTCAGTGCCGTGAAGGAATAGAACACTCAGCCTGTCCCTTCGTGAAATTATTCTTGCCATTGCACTCATAAACCTTCATTTTTAGTATATATTATGAGAGAGGTCTATATTTCTCGCTATAAAGTTGTGAATAAACCTCAAATGAAGTGTTTTGATTATTTGGTGATGGGTCACATGTTATGGTGTGAATCTTTGACTGTGCACGTAGATTCATCTGCAGCACGTCATGAATTGGAATGACATAGTGTGTAGTGTTAGGATGATATATTTTATTGCAAGCGTTTGGCTGAATTTTGTTTTCTGACTAATTCTGTCCCTCTGTGCAATGGAGCGCTTTGATTAACCTGACTAACCAACTAACAGCTATTTTAATTTGCCTTGCTTCCTGATGCTTGTTTGCTACTCTTTTTCTCCTCTTCCCGTGTATTTTCATTGTTGGTCCGGGTTTTTTCTGTTTCTTTTTTTTTTGTCTTGACTGTGGTGGTGTTTGTGGCATCTTGTGTGTCTATGGCAAACCTGTCTCCATTGGCAACATTTTAGATCATTTGTGAGAGCACTGACTATGACTGCATGTGATTTGGCGGCCAACACAAAGCCGTGGTTGATACAGCAGCAAACCGTTAAGGTTATCTTTGACGAGTTTTATCAACAGGTATGCATGTTTGTCTGTTTAGATTTTTAGCCACTTACAAAGGTTTCTTTGTTGGGAAATGCTGCACCATTCTGTATAATGCACATTGCACAGCCAGTATATTGACGTATATCATATTCTGTGTAGGTGAGGGCTACTTAAGTAAAAGTGTCATCTTGAGGTATGAGTTTACCAAACTGGCATTTAAGGAAGCTTTATTTTGCATGTTTCAATGCACATTCAGGAAACATTAATGCACATGCTGGCTAATAATGATAAATTTGCACCATATAACATGAAAAATGTCTCAGTTCCCTTGTTTTCCCTCACAATAGTATCAACAGTATTTACCAAAGTTATCTTGGTATTAACCACTTCCTGCCGGGGACTCCGGAATCGGAGACGTATGGTTTATATGCGTGGCCGGGGTCTCCGAACTCGGACAAAGGAAATAGGGCCCTGTAACAAAAGACCGTACTCCGAACAAAATACCAGGCTGCTGGGCATTACCGACATTTTTCACTCTCAAAAGTGGTGATAATCCAGTCTTGTTTTGAAACCATTTACCAGGGTTTGGGGCATTGAGAGCGAGCGGATTACCACCGGGGACAAAAGCGCTCCACAACCGCAGCGATGAGCCACACAGCACCGCTGCATGCTAATCTGGCCCCTATTGAAAAGAGGTCGGCAGTGCA